AGGGAGGCTCGTGGGGAGCAGACACCATGCAAAAAACGAGCGGCTTCCACGTTCGCGTCGAAATCGCAGAAGTGCTCCTTTGGAAGGGGAGCCGGAGATCCCTCCAAGGGCTCGGAAGGCTCCTGGGGACCTTGCCGCTTCTCGTCAGCACGGGACCGTGCCCAGCCCATCCAAATCAACAGACACCCTTACGCGCTTGGGGTGGAAGCCTTTACAACAGAGTCTGGCCCAGACTTCTTTGCGACGAGAGCTACCCGCTGACCAAGACTTTGTGCCTCGATCTGGATGCGACGCACGCGCCTTGGGGCAGAGCGCGCAGGGGTCGGCCAGACCTCGCAGCTGGCCCCCCGACGTGTAGAGAAAACAAAGCTGGCAAAAAAAACACATGAAGTTTCCGCCGCTGCACTCAGCAACGACGCGGCGGTGCCCAATCGCCAGCAATTTCTGCGGGCTGACCCTGAAGCGCTGGAAACACCTCCCTGCGGGGGGGAAGATAAAGAGAAACAGAGAAAGAGAGAGGGAGAGAAAGAGAGAGAGAGAGAGAGAGAGATCTCGAGCGCGAAAGATACCCGTACCCTTACCTAGACAGAGTGGCAAGGGTCCGGGGGGGCGGTTCGTCGCAGCTGACGGCGGCTGCACATGTGTAGAAGCGACGGCCGATCGAGCATTGCAGACCGCCGTCTTCTCGAGGCGCACGTATGCACCGATCGCGCGTGCGCTCGAATCGGCGGAGTGGCCGACCCCGCGTTGGTTGCTGTAGATGTAGACCAGCTGCATAGGAGGCGCGCCCCCAGAGACACATATCCTGGCGTTGAGGAATCAACGCGCACTCGGGGGTGCATGCGAACAACTCTGGCGCGAACGTCACAGCGCGACAACCGCCCAATCGCGAATTGATCGATGCAGAGGCATCGCGGCTCTGAGCGCTGGGCGAGGTCGCCAGAGGCCGCCCCGCATGGACGGCCGTCCGCGGATCACCCCAGCTAGGTACGGTTGCCCCCAGAAAAACCCAAAAACATACCCGTACCTAGCCGGGGTGTCGCAGCTCCACCCCAGCTAGGTCCGGGTATGTTTCGGTGGTTTCAGGCAGGTCCCCGTACCTAGCCGAGGTGGCGGCAGGCCCAAAACGCCCTCGAGCACATCACATGCCCTCCAGAACCGCCCCCAACGTGGCCGCTGCGGCCCCCTGGGGGCGCGACATTGCAACGTCGTTCCTCAGGGCATGCCCAGACGCATTGGTTGCCAGGATGATGGCGAGGAGACGCATCTTGTTATCAATTAGGACAGGCACCACCACATATGGGCGGCTTTGAGCCGCGCGCGCACCGCGATGCCCCGAGACGCCCCTAACAAAAACCAACGCTTGTCGCTGCAATCAGAACGTCCAACCATCGAGCGCGCCGTTGCGTCTCGACACGCGGATGCTGCACTGGCGCGCGCGCGGGGCAAGCTGACCGGACACAATCGCAAACGCCCAGTCCCCCGGACGGCCCATCTCACCTCGGCTGGCCCCGGGCACGGGTATCTTTCGGACCAATGAAGAGAGAGAGAGAGAGAGAGAGAGAGAGAGAGAGAGAGAGAGAGAGAGAGAGAGAGAGAGAGAGAGAGAGAGAGAGAGAGAGAGAGAGAGAGAGAGAGAGAGAGAGAGAGAGAGAGAGAGAGAGAGAGAGAGAGAGAGAGAGAGAGAGAGAGAGAGAGAGAGAGAGAGAGAGAGAGAGAGAGAGAGAGAGAGAGAGAGAGAGAGAGAGAGAGAGCGAGAGAGAGAGAGAAGAGAGAGAGAGAGAGAGAGAGAGAGAGAGAGAGAGAGAGAGAGAGAGAGAGAGAGAGAGAGAGAGAGAGAGAGAGAGAGAGAGAGAGAGAGAGAGAGAGAGAGAGAGTGAGAGAGAGAGAGAGAGAGAGAGAGAGAGAGAGAGAGAGAGTTGATTGCAACGCACAGAGCACAAATGCGGGGGCCCCACAAGGTGGCGCTATCATGCCAGAGTTGCGGCAAGGCCTCCTCGCCGCCCGCGGACTGGACAGCGCGGGCACAAACGGATTCGGCCCAAGTTTTCTGGGGGGCGCCCCGGTTTCGCTTGAAGCTCCGTGGTGCTAGCATGAGAAACGACGCTTGGACAGTGCATCTGACAAGGTCATCAGCTGGCTTTCGGGCAGCAGGGCCCCGGAGCAACAGCTGATGATTCAGTAGAATATTGCGCAGCGGGGAAACGCCTGCTTGCTTGCTGCAAAACACTGAAATTCGTTACGTGTCTTATGTCTGCACTAGGTATGCGAAGTATCTGCCTCGGACATCTCACGACGAATGCGTCGACATTATTCGTTTCGGCCTGGTTCAGGAAGGCCGCACGCAGTCAATACAGCAGTTTTCTGAGAATGCAAGCGCTGAAGATCTCAGGCTTCGTTGACTGCGTCAGCGCGGAATGGCCCCACATTCGCTTCACCTTGTCGAATTCCGCCCGCGCGGCGCCGAGCCGGCGGGAGAGTTCAGGGCAAATATTCCCGTCGCTTGAAATCAAGCTGCCAAGATATTGAATGCTCTGTTTCTGCGGCACCCAGGAACCGTCTGGCCTTGGAACGTGCGAGGCCAATCCAACGGATAGAACTTCCAGCTTGCGCCACTTGAACTGCGGCCCACATTGCCATCCAGCTGTTTCGATGCTGCGCATGCATGCCGTCGCTGCATCGGACTCGCCAGACACGAGCAGCGCGTCGCCAGCGTAGACCAAGTCGTGCACCACCGGCCTCCTCCTTCTCGCTCCGCAGCAGCACAGTCATCACGATCGCGAAGAGGGCGACAGCGGGCACCCCTGGCTGTTGCCGAACTCCCACGCCCTCGGCGCCAATGTCGAACCGGCATCCCGGACGCAGAATCCGCGCCCCCGGTAGATCGCCCGCACCACCTCCACGAACTTCGCCCGATTGCCAAACCCGACTTCAAATTGGCGTTAGAGACTCCGGGGAGACGCTGTCGACGGCTTCCGCACAATCGAGTGCCAGCAAGACGACCTACCCGTCCTTTCCGGCCCAGGTTCTGCGAAGAACTCGCCTGGCCAGAAAAATGGCGCCCGCCGTTCCACGCAAGGACGCGAAGCCGAAGTGAGCGCGCCACCTCGGGCTCTCGGCCCCGCCTGCCCCCAGCCGGTCCAATAAAACTGCAGCGAAGATTATGTAACCAACGGCCGTCAAGGAGATGGGCCTGTAGTTCTCGCACTGGGCCACATCTCCCTCCATGAATATTGTTGCGACCAGCGCCTCGCGCCACTCTGCCGGGGCTGCTGCGTCAGTCCAGCATGCGTTGCGCGGGTCGACAGCCCGCCTGCAGGCAGGCGCCCCGGCTCGGCAGACCGTCTTCAAAAACACAGGCGGGACATCGTTCCTGCCGGGCGCCTTACCTCGCTGCGTCCGAACAGGCGCGCCTACGACTTCGCCGTCGGTGATAGGGCCACGCGGCACGCCAGCTCGTCGCCAAGGGGGCCCCCGTTCGGCGCTGCGCCCGTCGGTCGCACTGCCCACTGGACCCAGCTAGAGCACTCTACCACTGTGTCTGCACGTTGGTCGGAGTCAAAGAGGCGACCTTCCACGTCGGCCAACCGGCCCCGCCAGGCTCGCGCCCCTTTCCGCAAGGCGCGGAACGGCGCCCAGTCTTCGGAGGCGAGCTGGCTCTCTAACCAATCCGAACGATCTGCCTTGACGGAACCCCAGACAACACGGCGCAAGTGCCGCCCCTCCTGCGTCGTCCCTCGTGTCCTCCCTGAGTCCATATGGTCCATGAGCTGGAGCGTCTTGTCAGATGTCCACGGTCGCCGCGGTCTCCTCGCGAGGGTCCGGAGGGCGTCTCGGGCGGCGCAACGAAAAGCATCTGTCATGATCGACGCGAGCTGCAGGGCGCTCGCGCACCTGTGCTCGCGCCCGCCTGAACCCGTCGGAGAATGCGTCGGCCACCATTTCGCCCCGAAGCGCGCCAAGCTGTCGTCGAGGCACGGGGGGGGTCGTTGTCTTCGCGAGGGGCGCCCATGTCCAGGGACGCAACCGCCTGGATAATAAGCGACGCGATCGACCTACGCGCGCCCGGTGCTTTACGCGCACCTCAAGCACCGAAGCCACCCAACGGACGCGATCCCCAAGTCCAACTGCCCGTAGATCCGGCGCGCCGCGGGGCCCGCTGGCGAGCGCCCGATATCATAATAGGTCATCTAGCGCTCCGGGGGGCCCGTCGAAAACTGCGTCGCCGACGGCGAACATGCTGGATGCGCAACAAGCCGGAGCGCTCCATCCGATGGCGGGCTGCGCCGCGCGCGCGGGCCCCCGAAAATGAACGGCCCCAGCGCGCCCGCTTCTCCATGGAGGCGCCGGTGCATTCTGGAATTGAAATCACCAGATAACAGCACTAGTCCGCGTGCGGAACGGCCGCCGAAGATGCCGGCTAACTCGGAGAAGAAATCCTGCCGGTCGACGAATGGCCCCCCGCCGCGCGGAGCGCAGGCGTTGCAGATAACCGTACCCCCCCCGCCCGCCGACCCGCAGTTCGAGGGGCGCCATTCTCGAGGAGGCCCGTATGGAACCTACGGCGCTGCGACGCGCCAGCGGAGAGATCGGGAATCCAACCCCCGCGCTCGCCTTCAGTTCGTCTTCCGCCGCGCCAGACTGGACAAGCAGGAAGCCCCCGTCTGTGATCTCAAACTCGGATTTGCCCCAGTGCGTTTCGCGGACGCAGAATGCCGATGCCCCCCTGCTGCGCGCGCCACTGGGACTCTACAATCTTTGTCTCTGCACGCCCTTCCACATTCCAAGTCCCAACTTTGAATTCCCGGCCAGGGGCGGCGAGCTGGCCGCCCCAAAACAGCTCACTTCATCCGACCACGTTGCGCATGGTGTTGATCTGGCACCAAAACTGGAGGTTGTAGCGTGGACACAACTGCAGATGCCCGGGGTGGAACTGCGGGTGAAGCTGTGCTCGTGTGACTCACGCGCTGCGTTCCCTGGCGCCCTCTGGCACCGCCCTCCTGCACCCTCGAGCGATTCGCGCCCCAGCCAGCAAGGGACAGCACGTCCGTGCTCATCTGGATAAGGTCCTGCGCTGCCTGGTTGTTGCGCAGCTCCTCCCATGTCCTCCAAACGCCGCGCCATTCACATCGCAGGGCGCTGTCGCCAACGCGGACCGTCGCCAACTCCCCGCCCACCACTGCGAGCAGGCACGGAGCCTCGTCGGATAACTTCACGCGGCACTGGGTCCGCCATTCGTATCTGAGCAGCCGCTCCAGGCAGCGCGCTCCAGAGCCGGGCGATCAACCGTCGACCACGCGCCTCCCCCTGCGCCTGGCTGGAGACCCGCCGCGCGGGAGAGGTCCACAGCGGCGCCCCTCTCCGCGGCCCCCTGGAACCCCGCGAACAGGACGCCGTCGATGTCCCCCTTGGAGCACGCGCTGCTCGGGGCTGGACCCTGCAGCGCCATCGGCCGGCCGTTCGGCCACGCGGTCGCCTCCACCACGCTGTTCAATGCGTCCAAATTGCCAAACACGGCCGCGATGTGCCTTCCGTCCGTCGCCGCGCGCCGAATGGCGTCTCGAGGTGGAGCTGCGCCGACTGGCCGAGAAGACTCGAGACTCCTAAGCATGTTCTTCAGCGTCTCGACCCTGACCTCTGACGCGTCCAGCCTGCTCTCCACGGACAGCAGGGGCTCATTCCAACTGTCATGAAGTCGTTGAGGCGCGCGCCCATAAAGCTGAACCCCAAGCGCAACTCATCCATCGAGGCCGCCACGGGAGTCAGCTCCTGCCGGAGCAACGCCGCTACGCCGAGCATCGCGACCTGCTCCTCCTGCGAAGTTCCGCCCCCCCCCCCAAGCGCGGCCCGCTCGCGGCGATGGAAGCACCCCCCCCCACCCACCCATGCCCCCGCCACCCCCCGTGCGCCGGTGGCGACTGTTCGCCGGTAGAGGGGTGGATGGCGAGGCAGGGCCAGGCCACGCGCGCGCGACCCCGCCCCCCTCATCTGCTCGAACGAGATACCCGCCAACAGGTGGCCGACCAGAGCGACGGCCCCCCGGATGGCACCCGCACCCCTGCGGAAGGGGCCTGAGACATAACAGCCGCCAACTCCTTCTCGAGGTTCAGCGGGAAGCGGCCGTCGGATATCGCAGCGCGCTCGGAAAGCAAGAACCGGGGGCGCCTCACTAGGGGGGGAACGGAATCGCTCGGGAGCTCCCGAGGCGCTCGCTACTTTGCCTGAACTTGACAACCCAGCCCCAGGGGCGCCTGGGGGCCCGGCCCCGAGGCCCAGACGGCGAGGGGCGCCCCCAAGAAACCCTCCCAGGTTGGCCCTGGGCCAGAAGTCCAGGAGAGGTGGGCGGCCAGGGTGGCGACAGCTTTACACGCTCCTACGAAGTAAATCAAAACTTCTAGCACGCGGCCCGAGGTAGGCGGGCGACGGCGGGCTCATGCATTCGCAAACGCTCGCAAACGTTCGGCCCCGTCCATGCCGGGATATTCCCAGAGGTGAGCCTTCACTCTTAGTGACTCTCGCCAGCCCGCGGTCGGAATTGAGAGGCACTCCACGACTAGGGCGCTCCAATATCTTTGCGATCGAACAAAAATTACGCCGCCCCTTCTATAACGCATGATGCCGCAGCAAGGGCGACGAACTCTGCAACATCATTAGTTTGCGGATACACATCACACACTGAACCGCACACGCGCGCGAGGGCGCCACCCTTGGCCCGCGCAAACGGCGCCCCAGCCCGAGCGCGACGGGCCACTGACAGAACGTTTGAACAATGAGCCACCCAAGATGACGCCCCCCCCCCCCCCCCCCCCGCCACCCAACCCCCCCTTAAGGGGGCGCGGCGCGCCAGCCGCTTCCAAAGCTTGAAGAAACAGGTCGAGAACCACTTGGTCTTGCGACTTCTCGGCAGAGCGAAGGGGGGGGCCTGGGCGAAGGGCGAGGGAATCAGCCCGATTCGCGAAGGAGCTTGAAACCAGGAATGGAGACGCGATCAAGCCCAAACTCTGTCCACAAAGGCCGGCTCCATGAGATCGAACGCGTCAGCATCGCAACTGGGGCAAGACCAGACGCGATGGATGACGGCATCTCCAGTGGCACCGCACTTCGGACCCATGTCCAGCACGCCATGCCCCTTCGAACCAGCGCGGCGAAGCGGCCAGACGCCGCGGCAAGTCAGGGCCCGAATCGCGCCTCTCTGCTTGGGAGAGAAACGCCTCGAACCAGGGGGCGCGCAAATAGCATCGACGCACAACCTCGAACCGCTGCCAACTCTCGCACCAACCTCAAGAATTCTAAACTTCGCAGGTTTACCCAACCGCTCGAGGAGAGCAGGGGCGAGGAGGAGAAGAGAAAGTTGAACCCCACGGCAATCTAGGATCGCGCAAGGATCGCTCGCGCCCCGCCCCAAGCGAGCGACGGGAAGGCACATTGCCCCCAGTCCCTCGGGCAGATCTCCACGAACGAGGGCGGCCATTCCAGACCACATCCCAGCCTTCGCGAAACTGGGTCCAAGACAGGGCACGAAAATGGAAACGCGCGCGAAAAAAAATAACGATTCTGCGCGGCGGCGAAGAGGAGGATCAGCAGAGCCATGCCAAACTGGATCCCCTTCACCTCGAATGAGGACGCATAGAGAGCAGCCGCCACGGGCCGGATTCACGGCGGAGGCGGCCACGCGCCGAAAGCGCAAGAGCTCGCCGTCAGACACGCCGCGCGCGCGTCACCAGCGCACGAGGCCAGGCAGAGCACCAGCGCACAACGCCTGAGTTGCGTGCCTGCCGAGGGCGCCGCGCGGGAGCACGAGCCCCCACGCGCGACGGGCCGCGGCAGCAATTCGGGCCTTCGTCGCGGCGTGGCGACCGCGAACAACGCGCGGGGTGCCGGCGGCGCGGTCGCGACCGAGGTCCACGGCCGTCCCGAAGCGAAGCATTACAATAGCTCCAGAGGCTCGCTCGCTGGAGTCTATCGAACCGACCCCGCCGTTGGACGCCATGCCGACTTTATACAAAGCGATGCGAGCTTGCACGGCGCAGGAGACGGCCTGCCCGACCTGGCCAGCGGCGCTGACCGCGCCAGTCACCAGAGGCCGCCCAACGCCGTCGAGAGTCGCGCCGACAATGCACACATCGAGAACCGACGGGGGGGGGCTCCGACGCCGAACGCGCGCTTCAAAATGGCAAACGCGTGGCAACCAGCCAGGAGGCCAGCACCAGCGCGCACTCCTGGAGCGAACACCCCACTGAGAACAAGGAATCGGCTAGATCGGTCCGCGGAGAGGCAGGCCCCGACCAGAGTCGGGTGGGAGCCTAGCCGATGACGACGAGCCTCCAAGATGGAGCGGAGTGAGCTCATAAAACGCACGCTGCCCAGTGGAGGATGGACAACGCACGCTGCCCGGCAGAGGTGCGCGGACGCTTTGGCGCAGACAGCGCCAGCGATAGCGGTGTCCGCCGGCGGCCCAGTAGGGCCAATCATTTTGACATTCCCACTCAAGGGCCCAGGGGCCGTCGGAGCCCCCCCCCCACAGGAGGAGAGACGACGGGGCGGAAGCCCGGGGCCTCTCAAGGAACCACAGCCACAGGGAAGGCGCGAAGCTGGCGGGGAAGCATCGCGGAAATCTCTACCTCCAGGAGCGAAAAGGCAAAACAGGCGAAGCACTCGCCCGAAAGACACTGGCAATGACGCAAGTGGAAGCCGACAAGAGCAACCGCCGACAGACGAGAGCACCCGCGGGAGACGGCTCGGACGCGGTCCGCTTCCAAGAGGGGGAGGCGACTCAGAATCTCACTGACGCGCCCAGGGGGGCTGGGGGGCGCATTCCACGAGGTCCTGCATCGGTTGGACCCGCACGAAAGAGATCTTGCGGGCCCAAAACACCGCTACCGAAACGGCCGAATGCGGAGCCGGGGCGCCACGCTGCGAGGCCACGAGAGACTTGGCGAGCACGTCCAGTAGACCCTTCATGAAGCCATGCAGTCTAATACGTTCGAGCCCGCTGCCGATAACTAAATCTGAACTAGCCCGCGCCAGTGCCAGTGAACAAGATGCCCCGCCGCGTCAACCAAGGCGAGACCCGAGAAGCGCCGAGCTGCCAGCGAGGGGCGCATGCCCTGCCGCATCGAGCGCGGCAACAACCGAAGGAAGTTGCCAGAAGTGGCCGGCGCCAGGATGCCCTGGCGCAACAAGCTCGGAAGCGAGTAAAACGCAACGGGGCTGGCCCAGCCAAGGAGCGCCAAAATCAGCCGCCGCGTGATAAGCATCCGCAAGCTCACCATGGCTGCACTGAAATAGAGAGGGCGGCGCCGCAGCTGCTGGGCACGACGATCAAGGTCGCTCGACAAGTTAGGGGGGTCTTCAAGAAACCCACGGTAAGAAGATGCGCAAGCCTTGAACTCACAGAGATCCATCTCACGCCATGGAGTCCGCGGCAACGGACCGACCAGCGATCGCGCCCCAGAACGGGGCGCCTCAACGCGGAGAGCCCTTTACCCCGAACGCCAAAGAATGGGGGCGATGTAGCCATGGTCGAGCAGAGTTCTTGCTCCGTGCAATTGGCCCAAAACTCGCGGGCACTGGAAATTTGAGCCGAGCACGCCCGCCCAGCCAGCGCGGGCTCGCCGCAGGGCCTCACCCAAGGGGCCCGAACTCTGAGCGCCCGCTCGGAGCACCCACGGGGCTCGGGGGGGGCACCCAGCAAGCGAGCGCGCGCAGATCGGCAAGGCCAGCGTGAAAGCTGACCTGAACGGGCGCGCGCGCGAAGATGGAATGTCGCATCGATCGGACCAACTGAGCTCACGGCTTGCGATAGGCCGCCAGAGAGGACGAGACAGTCTCGGAGCTTCGGACCCCCCGCCCACCAATACGTCCGTCTCACTCTCTGTCGCAACCACTTGGCCGCGAAGACTCCGGGGGAATTCCGCACCCTGGAGGGCGGGGGGCTCCACGTTGGAGCCCCCGCCAAGCACGAAATGCACACTCGAGATGGCCGAATAGGAACCCACTGAAGACTACATGTCCGAATTGGCGTCTGGCTCACGCATATATACCGAGGAAACGAGAAGGGGCTGGCCCCCCAGAAGGTGGACGGCTGCTGCGAGAGCTCGGCGAAGTCACAAAACTCCCCCGTCACCCGTCGGACGGAAGATGACATCCACTCGAAGGGGGCCCGCCTTCCCCGAGGGAACCTGGGACCCGCAAGAACTTAAAACCATGGTAGGCACCGCGCGGAAACCCTGTCGAGAGAGTCTCCAAGCTGAAGCTTTTCCTCCTGAGCCACAGTTATGTGAGCGCTACACGAGGGAAGCCAATCACGGACGCTGGTCCATGCAATCCCGTTGACAATGACAACGCGAAGCTGAAATAATTCCTGATGGGGTGGGATCGGGGCCCCCTGGATGACCGAGAACATGCTGAAAGGAACTCCCCCCCTCACTCAGGCGAGGGGGCCCCCCCTGGACTGCACTTTTGCAGCCCGCACTTTGACAGAAGAGAGGAGAGCAGCCTCGGCCGAAGGCTCAGCACTGGATGAAGT